CCCCCTACCTGGCCTCCGGCCTGGCGGCGCCCACGCCCCTGCCCGCGCCACCCCGGCCAGCGCCCACCACCTACAGCTTCCAGGCGGCGGCTCCGGGCGCCGAGGCCGGGGTCTCCCTGAAGAGGAAGGCCACCGACGAGGGCGGGGAAGGCCGCTACCGCAAGTACGTCTACGAGCCCACCAAGACCCCCGTAGCCGATGGCGCCTCCTACTCCGCCACAGACAACGGCGAGTGTCGGGGCAACGGGTTCCGAGCGAAGCCCGCGGGAGCCGCGGAGGAGGCGTCGGGCAAGTATGGCGGCGGCGTCCACCTCAAGGTCCTGGGCGCCCCTGTTTACGGCCCACAGCTCGAGCCCTTTGAGAAGTTCCCGGAGCGGGCCCCGGCTCCCCGTGGGGGCTTCGCAGTGCCGTCGGGGGAGGCTCTCAAAAGCATGGACCCGGGAGCCTTGGAGCTCGTGACGAGTAAGATGGTGGACTGCGGGCCCCCGGTACAGTGGGCAGATGTGGCGGGCCAGGGCGCGCTCAAGGCGGCGCTGGAGGAGGAGCTGGTGTGGCCCCTGCTGAGGCCGCCTGCCTACCCCGGCAGTCCACGGCCGCCGCGTACCCTACTGCTCTTCGGGCCGCGAGGCACCGGAAAGGCGTTGCTGGGCCGCTGCCTCGCAACGCAGCTGGGCGCCACTCTGCTGCGCCTGCGCGGCTCGGTGCTGGCGGTGCCCGGTGCGGCGGAGGGCGCGCGCCTCCTGCAGGCTGCCTTCGCTGCTGCGCGTGGTAGCCCGCCCGCGGTGCTTCTCCTCAGCGAGCTGGACGCTCTGTTCCCAGCCCGGGACGATGGCGCCGCCGCTGCAGCGCTGCAGGCGCCTCTACTGGCCTGCCTGGACGGCGGCTGCGGCGCGGGGACCGACGGCGTGCTGGTGGTGGGCACTACCTCCCGGCCCGCGGCTCTGGATGAAGCGACCCGCAGGCGCTTCTCTCTCCGCTTCTACGTGGCGCTGCCCGACAGCCCGGCCCGCGGTCAGATCCTGCAGAGGGCGCTGGCCCAGCAGGGCTGCGCGCTGAGCGAGCGCGAGCTCGCGGCCCTGGTGCAGGGCACCCAGGGCTTCTCAGGGGGCGAGCTGGGGCAGCTGTGCCAGCAGGCAGCAGCCGGGGCGGGCCTCCCGGGTCTGCAGCGCCCCATCTCCTACAAGGACTTGGAGGCGGCATTAGCCAAGGTGGGCCCTAGGGTCTCCCCCAAGGAGCTGGACTCGTTCGTGGAGTGGGACAAAATGTATGGCTCCGGACACTGATGGAGCGCCCGGGAGGGCGCGGGAGCCGCAGTCCCTCCCTCCCTTCCCGTCTCCTCCGCTTGGGAAGGGTGTCATTGAGCAAACCGGGGCTCCGAGGGTGCTGGACTGGTGAATGTGGGGTGGGGAGGGGCGGGGGCTGCCAGGGGAAGGAAGATGTTTCTGCTAGGCAGATAGATGCCATATGCGCCGTGTACTCAGGTTTTCCCTATTTATTGCCACGGGAAGCTCTCCCCGCAGTCGGGACAGATCCGGGACCTAAGGAACTCCTGCTCTCTCGCCACAATTCTTTTGTCTCCTCGCTATCTGTGACTGCCGCCTTCCTCTCCCCACCTTTTTCTCTGTCTTCCCCTAATTTTCTCTCCCCATCGCTTAGTCCCTGAGCATCCTCCCCCCATCCTCTCCCAGTTTCTCTTTTGCTCCCCCACATCTCTCCATCTATCATCCTGTGTGCTTCTGTCTCCCCCCAACCCCTTCTCTTGCTCCTGTGTTTCTTGCTCCCTCTGCTTAAACACCTCTCACTGCCTTCTGTCCCTGTCGCAAAGATTGCTGTATCTTTGCTGTATCGCTGTACAGGAGATCTGGAGGTCCGGGGGTGGGGTGGGGGAGGGGGGAGAAAGGGTGTTCCCTCCCCTCACCCAACTAAAACTTTGGGTCTGGGATGTGGGGTAGGGTCAAGCAAATATGAAAAATAGAAAGAAAGAAAAACACAAACACCCAAAGAAGGTTTTTTTGTTGTTTCCTTTTTACTTTCTATGGGAACTCTCAGAAACGTAGCTTGTTTAAAATTTTAGGTCTCTTATTTTTGTAAGATGTGTAGAATTTGCTGTTTTTCTTTTTCTTTTGACAACTCAGGAAAAAAACTGACCTCAGAAAGAATGTTAGATTTTGGCTGCTCTCTCTCCTGTGTGTTTCTCCTCCCAGCCCCCACCACCAGGGGAGAAAATTCTCCTCAAAGACTCAGCAAGTGAGCCTTGTGGGGAAGGGGAGAGGAAGACCCAGGGGCCGCACTCAAACCCTTGCCATCCCTGGGACAGAAGTGGAATGTATTTCTAGGGCTTCCTCCCCAGGCCCAAGGTTTTAGGCAGAGATGAGGGGAAGTTGGATTTGAGAGAGGAGACAAGTCTTACTCCCTTCCTGCTGCTCTCCCCACTGGGCCCCACCCCTTAGCCCAGTGTTTCCTGTGAAGGGTTATCCAGAACTGGGGATGCTCTTGCCCACTTCCTGCCTTAGACCCAGAAAGTAGTGGAATAGAAGGGCCAGCCTGGACTGCGAGGGACCAAGTGGGAGGGTGACCCAGGCAGAGTCCCCAGACAGGCCATGTCATCCAGCCCCTGACAGGATTATAATTTATGCTGAGAGGATTCCCCTGAGAGGGAAGACAGTCTGGTCACAAGTCTGGTTGGGCCCCAAACTAGCTACATACCCCAACCTTCCTTGTGTATTATTTGCTGGGAGAGGCTCTGAGGTGGGTAAGCAGTCCCCCTCCCACCCCACCCCAGAAGGTGCTCTGGGGAAGTGTGCCTACCACAGGCCCCCAGAGCCCTCCAGCAGGGAAAGGGTTTCGGAGATGGGCAGGCTGTTTCTCCCTGACATCAAGAGCTTGTTCTTAGGCCCAAACTTTCCACCAGAAGCCCAGGTTTGGAGGCCTTCCCCTCCGAGAACCATTCTCTTCTCCTCCCCACTTTCCCATGAAGGGGCGTTAGCAATTTGCCCCCACCCCTCAGGGAGCCCATCTTACAACTTTTGAGCTTTGGTCCAGAAATTGAGGACACCTGGTCACTGGCTCCTCCTTTTCTCTCCCCCTCTAGCCTCACTTCCTGTTCCCTGCTTGCCCCTGCAGCTCCCTGCAGACACTGTGTGTTACCACCCACTCCTGGCTGGGAGGGTGTCCCTGGAGGCATTTCAGGGGCCAAGGTGGAAGGTCTGTGCTGACCTAGGAGTGCCGGCAGGAAAGTGACACTGTTTTTTCCCCCTTGGTCTCTCTGCCCGCCTCTTGCCTCTTGTTGGAGCCAACCTCTGGTGCCTCTTAAACAGTGGGCCACAGGGTCTGATTGTGAATGACCCTCAGAGGGTGCAGGGAATGAGGAGGTTCTCTCAGGTGTGTGTATGGGGATGGGGATGGTGGTGGTGGAAGGGGTCAAGGAAGTGGGCTGGGATCCCAGCTCTGGGGGGCTCGGGAAGAGCTCACTAAGGAGACCCAGGTCCCCACAGCCTCCTGTTCTCCAGGCCTGGGGAAGTTTGCACAAGGAGACAGCCCCAGTCTACTAGCATCTACCTCATGGACACTGGGGTGGGGAGGGGAAGCTCTGGCCAGCTCTGGCACTGTTGGGAGGGGCATACCAAAGAATCCAAGGGCAGGGGGGAGGGGAGGGGCAGACTCAGCAAGTTGGCCCTCTCCATCCTCTACTCAGATTGGGGTTGGGGGTCCCCTCCTCCAGCTGTAACCATTTCTACCTCATTTTGCTGCATGTTGTATACATGGACGTATTTATCTCCTGTCTGACGATGCTCTGCAGTTGTGGTCTGTCTACCTCAGAAGAGACTGTATTTTAAAAGAAAGTATTACACAGTATTAAAGTGATGACATGTGGTTTCCAGAGAGTTTCTTGGGGGCCATGGATGTGGGAAACTCTTGGGGGGATGCTTGGGCCTCCAGGTCTGCTGGGACCCAGGATGTGGTTCTGTGAGTGTTTGTATTCCTTCAGCAAAAGTTATTTCAGGACTCCTGTTGTTCACTCTGCCTACCAGCAAGTGCCTAATGGGGATGAGCATTGAGGCTCCAGAGTGAAAACCCACATCCTTGGGCTATGGAAAGCCCCTGGACAGGGAGAGCCCTCTCAGAACTGGCCATTGTATCCCCAGAACCCTGCCACATGAGGGGCCAAGAGGAGTGCACATGTGGAGTGAATGAGTGAAGCAGTGGGCTCCTGGAGGACAGGGATGCTGACGAGAAGGAAGGGTCCTCAGAACCTGGTGAATAGAACCAAGGTTGTGCTTCTTGGGTGGAGGGAACGTGGACAAAGGTCAGGGTGTCAGACAGCTGAGTTCCACTCTTTAAGGTCACATAGAGTGCCTTGTCCACCACCATCAGTCAGTCCCCAAACTATCCACGGCGGTACAACATAAAGTGGAAGACTAAGCAAAAACAAGGAAGGAACCTATTGCTGCAAAAGCATTGTGGAGATGCTCACGAGAGATTACCACCCACAATGTCCTGAGGCCCCTGAAAATGCACAAGAGCTCAGGGAGAGCAGTACACCCAGGCTTCCTGCTGACGGTGCACCCCAGGCTTTCAGAGGGCAGAACAAGGACATGGAGTGACCCTCAAAGTAAATTGTTTCCACTATAGAAACAGTCGTGGTGTGCTTGGATGTGGGGGCTCCGCAGCATTGTCCAGGGTTCAACAATTCCCTACCCTTTAGGCCCTTGGAAGCCCAGACTCCCCATCCCATTCTGGTTTGCCTGGAGAGCTGCTTCCAAAAGGCCTCAGCCTTGAAAATCCTCTGGAGCATAGTTCTTGGCACACATGGGGTCAGTATGAGTCAGAACTGACATGGCAACAAACACTCTGCAGATACTGCACTGCATTGAGTATACCGAAATGTGTCTTTTGGGGCAATGGGGGGTCTGAAAATAAATCTATTTTCTCATATCTTGCACAGTGTGATGCATAGACGTCACAGAATAGTTCATTGCTAGGTGGTGGTGTTAAATGCCATCGAGTCGACTCTGACCCATAGCGACCCTGTATAGGGTTTCCAAGGAGCAGTTGGTGAGCTTGAACCACTGACCTTGCAGTTCAAACGACTTTGCAGTCTGACACATTAGCCCACAACGCCACACCAGGACGTACCCTGAAAGATTTCAAGAATGTCCAGAAAAGGTCCCAATGCACAGCGATGGTGGTGGTGGGTGTCAGGAAAAGGCCCTGGATGAGCACAGTGAGAGGGGGAGTGGGGAGAAGAGGCTGGGGCTGGACCATGGAGAACTATCCATACACTGCTAAGAGCAAGGCACCACTATGAAGCCTTGGGGGAGGGGAAGAAAAGGAAGTGGGTGGCTGTGGACAGCGTCTGAATTGCAAGTTAAGAATTCATACATTCACATATGAATATAACACATTTTTACTGAACACCTATTGTGCATTAGTTGCTATGGAGACAGTAGATGGATGGCCCTTGCGGTCTAATGGGGGAGACAGTAAAAAGGCAGAGCTTCAGTGTGCTATGGGAGCAAACAGGAGGGGTACCTAGTGGAGAGGTGGGCAATGGTGTGTGTTCTCTAGCTGAAACCTGATAGGAGTGACCCAGGCAGAGTAGGCGTGCAGGCCAAGGTCCAAATGAGACAGTCAAATGTAAGCTTGCTAAGCGGAAATGAAACAAGTTTAGGTCAGTGGGGCCCCAGTGTGTGGAAGGGGATTGAAGGAGGTCATCATCTTATCCCATTAAAAGAGTATGCAGGTTAGTATTAGGCAGGTGTGAGAAGAAGGGAAATGATGGAGTCTGTTGTAGTTAGAATAAGCACTGGGCTGCTAACCACAAGGTCGGCAGTTTAAACCCACCAGCTTGCTCCTTGGGAGAAAGATGAAGCTGGCTGCTCTCCGATTTACAGCCTGGAAGCCCTCCGTATACTGACTCATGGCAGTGCATTCATTTGTAATAGGTGACATTTAGGAATTGACAGGATATTAGAGATGGTGGTGAGCAAGGAGTCTAGGGAGGAGGGGAAGGGGTGAATTAGGAAAGGTGAACATTGAGTCTGAAGTACTCCTGGGTCAGCAGACAGGCGTTTCAGTATAGAGGCCCAGAATTCTAGCCTCATTGGAGGGCCCAAGAGTCCCCACTCAATCCCTGGATATTGAGAAACCTTCTCTCTCCAGTTTTTGGGTCTCGGAAGCCCCTCAACTCACAGTTCTCACTGTTGGAAATCATCTCGGCATTTCTGGATGCTGGGGGGCCCTTATCCCCAGCTCCTGAGTGTTAAAATTTCTCCCTCCTGTGTTCTGGAAGTCCCATACTCTGTCTCAATCCCTGAAATGCTGCAATCCTTCTTCACCCCACAATCCTTGGGTGTTAGGAACTCCCTCCCCCATTGAAGCCCGAGTGTTCTGAGCCCCTCCCCCTACAGTCCGTGGATCCCCAGTCACCACTAGAGATGGCATCGCAGGCTCGGGCTCTGGCCCTGCTCCTGGTGGTGTGGGGCTGGGCGCCGGCTCCTGCGGACGCCGTGGACGCCATGGGCCCTCACGCAGCCGTCCGACTGGCCGAGCTGCTGACCCCGGAGGAGTGCGGCCACTTCCGGTCACTCCTGGAGGCCCCAGAGCCCGACGTCGAGGCCGAACTGGCCAGACTCTCTGAGGACCGGCTGGCGCGGGCCGAGCCGCTGGAGCCCACAGAGCCCTCGGAGCCTCAGAGTCGGCTCCGGCGATGGCGGCGGCAGGCGGAGGACGACTCGGCGGGCCAGCCGGCAGAGCCCGAGGAGGTCTCCGACGGCTGCCGGGAGGCGCTGGCGGCTTGGCTGGCGGCCGAGGCCGCGTCCTTATCTTGGGACCGCATAGCTCGGGCCCTGCGGCGCAGTGGCCGCCCGGATGTGGCCCGGGAACTGGCCAAGAACCTCCACCAGCAGGCGACGCTGCAGCTGCGCGAGTTCGGCCAGCGCTACCTGCCGCCGTCCGGCGCCGCCGCCCCCGCCGCCCCCGCCGCTGCGCGGGGACCCCAGGCCCTACGTTCCCGCCGCTCCTCGGTCCCCGAGCTCAACTGGGACAAGCTGGACCTGATCATGGAGCGACTGCCGCAACCCCCGTACGAGCGGAGTCCCACCGGCTGGGTCGGGCCGCTGGTGCTCGGCCTCCTCACTGGCTTCGTGGGAGCGCTGGGCACCGGGGCGCTGCTCATTCTGCTCACTCTGTGGATCACAGGCGGCGACGGCCCCAGCCTGCCCGCCACTCCCAAGGCGCAAGGCCTGTGGGAAAGCAAGCCGCTTCTTGGCTAAGAATACCTGGAGCCTGGGCCCACTCGACCCGGGCTGCAGATAATCCAGATCCTCCCTTACCTCAGTGCCCCTAGCTATAAAGTAGAAGCACGTGCTAATGGCGGGCTCTTTGACGTCATATAAAAGTTACAAAACACGCCAAGGAGGAAGCAATCGGTTTTTTTGTTGCTGTTGTCCGTTGGAAATGACCAGCGTAGCCAGTGGGACTGTCAGTGGATGAGGTGACAGTCTAAGGGGGTGGGAGTCAGGCTCTCTCAATTCTTGCCAAGTTTAGTTCCTTTTTATCTTGCAATTATTCTTTTATTAAGAATTACCATTTACTGTGCCTTCCTCATTGGGTCCCTGGCTCTGCACTAAGCAGGGAAATGATTTCATACCATCTTCAAAACCTGGGTCTGGAAGTGGTATCTCCACATAGAGAAATTCTGTCCACAAGAGTTAGTGGTGTAGCCAGGCTTTTAAATCTAGGGTCGCCTGACTTGCAGGTGTGAGCTCCAGAAGGAATGATTTGTGGGCAGTAAGGGAAATTTGGGGACCAGAATAAGATTCACAGCTCTTCCGTTCATATGACTCTGAGGTCCTGCTCACCTATGTGTGTGTGGTAGCGGTGGGGACAGCGCAGCTAGGGGTGTGCCCACTCCTAGGGGCTGTCTGTCCCCAAAGTGCCCTCCCCAGTCAGGCAAGCTTTCCTGTAAGTCTGCTGGGAACTACAGACCTTTCCCACCCTCACACTAGGAGTGTCTGAGGCTCTGTCAGTCCGTCCAAGGAGCTGGCCTGGGAGCACTCTCCTAAAGAATAACCAGGCTGTCCCCTGGGGGAAGGCAGAGGAGAGAAGAGGGGTCCTGCTAGATGGGAATGCTTGACAGTCCATGCTAGGCCAAGTGGCTTTGATATGGGAGTAATAACATAATGACAGGCCAATCCAAGAGGAGACTTGAAAACAAGATTGACGTAACCCTTTATTGCAAATTCTAAAGTAAAAAGATGTACAGTACAAAGTAAAATTGAAATTTCAGACTATAAACTTCCAACCCACTTATACATTCTCATTTCTTAAGCATTTCCGCCATTTCCGCATAAACGGAACAGGGAACAAGTCGAGGGGGTTGAGGGAAGGAAATACAGCAAGAGGAAAACAAAATGTCTAGAATAATCACAAACCCCAGAAGCAAGTGAAAGGAAAGACATTTTCTCGACCTGCTGTCCTGGTGATGAGAAGCGGGGGTGGTTGGAGCAGTGCAGTTTAAAATGGCTCTCAGAATAGCAGCATTTATGGTACCATTTCAGCTTCCTTAAGTTCAAATAAGACTTTGCCCTTCCCTAGCGCCTTTGCCTCTGTATCTCAAAACGCTTTACAAAACATTTAATTAAAGCCTCACAACACCCCTGTGAGGTAGGTCAGTATTATTATCCCCATTTTACAGATGGGGTAACTGAGGCACAGAGAGGTTAAGTGACTTGCCCAAGGCCACACAGTGAGCCAGCGGTTGAGCTGGGGATGGAACACAGGAGTCCTGTCCCTTTTCTGGAACCGCTGGACCACACTCCCCTTTACCTATATACATTCTTCACACGCACACACATCACACGTGCACACCCGCCCACCCCACCCCACTTAGCCTTTATGTACAGCAAACAGCAGTGGGGGGTAGGGGTAGGGGGTGCCTCAGGAGTGTTTTAACAGAGGAAATCTTGGTAACCTTGGAAAGAGAATCCAAGAAAGCACAGAACAGAACAACGCTGGCTCTGGTGCAAACCTTGGGTCCCTCCAAACCCAGACTTTCTCTTCTCTCCTGATGTGCACCCCCCTCCCCCCCGCAAGCTGGCTTGTTGCAGCCAATTCTTTAGGGGGCAGGGGTACCTGAAAATGAACAAAGCTTTTTGCAAAACTTTGGGCAACATCTGAGAAAAGGAAGAGGCATCATTATAGAAGATGCCCAGACTCATGTCACATAGTCATAACCCATGGCGATCTCACCTCCGTAGCAAGCCTGGAGGCTGGAGGCTGAGGGAGGAGGATGAGGACTGACCTACCAGCCATCTCTCTCCAGAGTGCAGTTACTGGAGTAGACTCGAGTGGGCACTTCAAGATCCTCCTGAGAGTGTTGCTGGACCAGGAGACATGGCCTAGAGAGGGATGTCCCCAAAGGGGTCAGGAAGAGGGGAGGAGAGGATACCCCCTCCCCTACAATAATGTGAACCAGACCAGCCCTTATCTGCTGGTCTATTCTGTGAGGGTGATGGAGGGCAAGACCCAGCATTAGCTAGAATGGAGGCTGTTGGGCATTGTGCACCAGCTTTGGGGCACTGGGTGGGTTTTTTTTCCTTAACATCCTGCTGAAGAAGGCAGAAGTCTGGCCAGTGGAGCTGGGCTGGCGAACATGATCTCTGGGGGCTCTGCCAGGTAGGTTGGTGGGGAAGAAGTGGTAGGGGGTCTCAGAGCACTGGCCCAGAATTGGAAGGAATGCCACATGCAATGGGTGAGTGGGGATCTAGGCAGGGTAGGGCCTTCTTTCCTCACCCATGTCACATTTCCAGCCAGAACTCTGCCAGTAAGCCTCTGACTTCTCTCCCTTCCATTCCCCGCAGGTGCTAAGGTCCCAATTCCCAGACCCCACCCCAAAATTCAAGAATTGGCATCGTCAAACAACAAACACACACCAAGACAGGCTTCCCTTGTGCAGTAAGAAGGGTAGTTTTTATTTTATTTCCTTGTGGCTTATAGTAGTGGTGTACTTTTAAATCACGTCTCATTTAGAGCAGCGTTGGGTCTCCATGCAGCCACTAATACACTAATCTTCACTATTGGTCTTCTACAGGTTTACATTGGTTGCGGCGAACAAAGAACAGAACTTGGGGCACTGTTGTTCCAGGGGCTTTGACTGGGAGTTTATTTCTCCCCAGTCAACTCCTGACACCAAAAGTGGCTCACTTCCAGAGGAGTGAAAGAGGCCACATCAACTCAGGACGCTTGTCCTGCTTCACCCTCTGCTTTAGCTGATGGAGCCTCCTCATCCTCAGTACCAAGGTTCAGGAAAGAGGAGGGGAGAAAAGTGTTTTTCACACATACCAGCAACCATGTTAGCTGCTGCTCAGTGGCTTTGGCTCTGTATTTGAAATGAACAGCATCACACACTGTCTTTTTGTTTTTAGTCCTCTGTTAAAGGTGGATTGTGGAGTATATAAATACTGCACCAAGGACCTGGCTACAAAAAATAAATATTTATATTATATTTATATATATGTATATATATATGTGCAGTGATACTGTGGCTGCTGCTGCTTTTTGATTGGCTTCGTTAATATTTGGCAAAGCGTTGCCACTCGCCCACTCGGTGCAGACGTACAAGAACGCCATCATTGATTCTTTCAGTTCAATGCCTGTTAACTGCAGGTCTAAACTGCTGGTGATGGTGTCATTTACTACCAAAGAAGTGTGGAACAGGGCGGGTGAATGAGTGAGTGGTTCAGGGAGAGTGGGTGAAGGAAAAGACAGTGGGAAAAGTTAAAAAGCAAAAGTGAAACTTCAAATAGAGTGGAGGTGGCTTCTTTGCCATGAAGCTGGCTGATGGTGTCAGATACCAGGGCACGTGTATTACCAGTAGCTTGTTGCGCTGGGAGTGGGATCTGAAGGAGGGAAAAAGGTCAGCTCTCCTAAAAATCTCATTAAGATGCTCTGGCAGCTTAAGGGCATCATTTGCACGAGCACTTGGTGTACCAGGCGGGACCGGGTGGCTCTGTTGCCCATCTCAAGACCTAAGAACAACTATTAAGTTTGGCCAAATCTTGCATAGACGTGGTTAGAATTTATTGCACATTGGAACAAAAATATATATATTTTGTTGTTTTGGAAAAGACCATTAGCAATAAAAAATTTTTTGTCTGTCTGTCTGGTTTGGGGATGTACATTGGCTGACAGCATCTAAGTTCTAAGAAGAAAGAAAAGTATAAAAAATAAAAATAAACATGACAATGGCATAAGCCAGAAGCCATTTCCTATTTAATAAGTTAATAATTTGTTATTTACAAAAAGGCATGCCAATAAAATAAAATTATATATTACAGTATTTATAATTCTCTTAAAAAGGATAACCACACGTCAGCTTCTGTTTTGTGCTGTTTACAATGTAGCCCGTACATGTGACTCTACATCCATCCTAGCAGTTAGCAGGCCACCGAGAGAAATGCCTTCCCAATCCAAGAATCGGGGGTAGTACAAATGCTCTACGGATGGTGCTGCAGAAGCAGGCTTAAGAGAGCTGGACAGAGATTGTAATGGTCCAACAACATGGAAAGCTCTGGTTATTGACCGCAGAACTAGTCAGGTGGATGGTGAAATTAATTATACCCAGGCAGGTTGGTGTGTCTGATTATGGGATGTTCGTTGTTGTATGTGTGTGTGAGAGTTTTAACCCCCTCAATTTTATGATTCTGGAAGCATTTACTTAGATTTGGTTCACATGCTAAAGTATCTCCTCATACTTTAGACATCCTGATAAAGTCAACTGCAGCATCTCTGCTTTGAAACCTAGTCAGCTGATGAGAAACCCCTGGACTAAAAACGGTCTTTTCTAAAGCAAGAGATGGAATGGAACATACGATGTCCCCCCAAAAGCCACCTTACAGTGACAATGGGCAGTTTGCTCAGCAGAGAGCAACACTGGCTGACAAGGGATGTGCTGGGGGAAGCTAGAACATCCTGAGGAGTTCATATGAGATGACTTTCTCATAAAACCCAGCACAGTGCAGAAACCAAGTGGGCTGGGTTCAAGACAGCTCCATTTCGACCTCAGGTTCCCCCAGTGACTATTGTTCTAATAATAAATGAAAGAAACTACAGCCATAGTCCTAGTGCTGCTGGCCTCTCCCACCTCTATGGGCAAGGGAAGCCCTGCTTGGTGGGAAGATGTGATGGCGGCAAGAGGAAGAATGCAGTGTGTGAGCTTGCGACACTCCTCTGCAGAAGCGAGAGCCAGTTCAAAATATCCGAACCCCTCTCTGTACTGACTCAAGCCCCAAGAAAGCCACAAGGCAGAAGATGAGAGTAAATGAAGTGAGCACTCCTTAACCCCAACAAAAGGCTGTTTTAAGTTTCCCAAATTATCCCCTAGAGACACTATGCTACTTTGAATAGCACTTTCATCTCTACCCCAAATAAGTGTCAGTACTCCAGTATGAAGGCTAAACAATCATCGTAAATATTGCAAGATACAAATGAACTTTTTGTTTTGATTTTAGCCCTAGGATTTGGTTTTACAGTGACATTATTAATACAAGCCATTAGGGATTGAAGTCTCCCCATGTATGGGACACAGAGCAGCATTAAGTAGTTCATCTTTCAAAATGTGCAACAATGGCTGAATGTTAGAGATGTCTGTTAAACATATACACACAACGGATCCATCTGCTTGTTGGTTTGGGTTTGTTTTGTTGTTGGTGGTGGTCAATTAGTTGGTTGGTTATGTTTCCCTACCCAGAAGGTGTGTGAATGACTTTTAAGAATTCATAAAGAATTGCAGCGGGTATGGAATTCTTACCATTTTCTCCAAATACAGTGAACGGTGCAGGGCTGGGTCCTGTCCAAAGGCTGACCCAGTGCAGGGGACAGGCTTAGTAGTGTCCTGTGGTGTATGGTTCTCATGCATGACTTCTGATCACAGCATGCCATCATGCAGATCGTTTCTACGCAGCAAACGAACGAGCACAATGTTTGGAATTGGCCTGAACAAGTCCTCCTCAGCCTGAAGAAACCTGATTGGTTCCCCACCCATCTCCAAACCACGTGAAGCCCATGTGGAGAAGACGCGGTTTATATCAAAGAAACTGACAATTAAATGACATGGGCTAAATGTGAAAGAGAGAGAGAGTGTGTGTGTGTGTGTGTTTTCTTTTTGCTGCTTAGCTTAACTAATAATGCAAATATAGTTTGCATGAACAAACAAACTTTTCAAGTGATGCTTTCTGCTTCTGAGAATCAACAAAATTAAAAAATAAAATCCACTTGGCTGCAACGGAAATATGCTGGTCCCGGCAGCCTCTCCTCTGTTTTTTGTATCCTGTTAGGTTTGTCCTAATTGCATTGACTGATGTGGAACATGCAGTAACCACCTGCCCAAGCATTAGAAAATCCGTGAGTCCAGGGAGCAGGGTCCTTTGCCCTTGGCAGGTCACTGCTCAAGATGCAACTGTGTTACATGGTAAGCAGACTACGTTTGGTATAGATCTTCAGGTTAAAGTGTCTCCACAGCTGTTCTGCATTGATAATATTTAGGAAGTTTGTAAACAATCTTTCACTTGCAAGTTTTAAATCTGTACAATATTTAATTCTGACTTTCCTCTAACACTTGGATTCTCTGACCTCTTTTTGTCTTTTGGCTCTTTCCCTTCTTCCTTCCTCTGCCCGTTGCTGTTTCTCCTTTTCAGGTTTGGTTACACTGTCATAGGATGGGAGGGAGGCTGTAGATGGGGTACTCTCTTTCTTCTCCTGGTGTGTGACTCCGTTCTCCAACTTATTAGAAGTGGTCTTTTTGCAGATGAAGCCCCGCCTGGCTAAATGTCCCCGGTAGGCGCGCTGCAGGACCACTGCAGACACCTCCTCCTGCTTGCGCCGCAACGTGGTTGTGATTGGCTCGTAAGACACTTTGGAAGGATTAGATGCCACGAACCGCTCCTCCATCTGTTGCCGAAGGATGTCCAACTCCCCACTATCTCCCAGGACCCGCTTGGTGAAGGCAAAAAGGATGTCCAAGCAGTGGATGCGATCCCCACTCACCATTGGCAGATCCATGGCAATGAGCTCGATGGTGTTGGGCTTGGGCACACGGAGAGGGTGCTCCAAGGCATCTGCAAAGTCTGCCAGCTTACAGTACTCAATGAACTGGGTGGCGTCGGGGTCAAACTTCTCCCAGATCTCATAGAATGTCTCAAAGTCATCCTCACTCAGAGGGTCTGCACTCTCTTCAGTGGCCACGCTGAAGTTCTCCAAGATGATAGCAATGTACATGTTCACAACAATCAGGAAGGAGATGATGATGTAGCTTACAAAGAAGAAGATGCCCACAGAGGGGTTCCCGCAGTCTCCCTTAAAGCCACTCCCTGGATGCTCCTTATCCAGACTGCAGTCAGGGGGGCGGTTTAGGATGGGCAGCAGCAGGCCATCCCAACCAGCTGAGGTGGTGATCTGAAACAAGCAGATCATGCTGTTGCCAAAGGTCTCAAAATTGAACATGTCATCTATGCCAGCCTCATGCTTCACATACGCGAAGTTGGACATCCCAAAGATGGAGAAGATGAACATGACCAGGAAGAGAAGAAGGCCGATGTTGAACAAGGCAGGCAAGGACATCATTAAGGCAAAGAGCAGGGTACGAATCCCTTTGGCACCTTTGATCAGACGCAAGATGCGCCCAATACGGGCCAATCGGATGACTCGGAATAGGGTTGGGGAAACAAAGTATTTCTCAATCATATCAGCCAGGAACATCCCTACGAAGAGGAAGAGAAGGAGATATGTTACTACGAAAAGAGATGTTCTGTCTCTTTACTTATCTTACCCAGCACCATGGAAGTCTGACGTTCAAAGGGCTTCACTGAATAAGTGCCTTACTAGTTAATCTGAACTTTCCTGGTAAAGAAAATGACATGTTTAAACATACCAAACAGTAGAGAAAATAATAAACACCTAGGTACCTAATACACAGATTTAATAGATGCTAATATTTTGTGGTGCTGGAGGATAAGCACTAGTCTGCTAACCACAAAGTCTGCAGTTCAAACCTACCAGTTGCTCCTAAGAAACCCTCTATAGGATCACTAGTATTGGAGCCAACTTGATGGCATTTAACATTTTACCAAATTTGCTTCCCCTCTTCATCTCCAGAAGCAACCACAATCCTGAAGACGATATTTATAATTCTGATGGTGCTGTGGGTTAATGTGCTAGACTGCAAAGTCAGTTTGAACCATAAGGCCAGTGGTTCAAGCTCACCAACTGCTCCTCGGAAACCCTATACAGGGTCGTTATGGGTTGGAACTGACTTGATGGCACTTAACAACAATAATGTGTCTTTAGAGTCCTGGTGTGGTGCTGTAGGATAAGCACTCGACCTTAAGGTCTGTTTGAACCACAAGGCTGGCGGTTCAAACTCACCAGCCGCTCATCAGAAACCCTATACAGGGCAGTATGAGTCGGAATCGACTTGACAGCACTTAACACGACAATAACAAATGTGCCTTATGGATTTACTATATATGAATCCATAAACAATATATAGTATCTGACTGTGTTTTAGAAATTACACTGTATTTACATTTACAATTTACTTTTGAGACTTAACATTATGTTTGTGAAAAGAATTTTAGAGTGTTCATTTTAATGGTTGTATAGTATTCCATTTTCTGGATAGGTTCTCATTGATCTGTTTTCCTACTAAGGGCCAATAATTTTTTTTCAGATTTGCGTATGTATAACTTTCCTAGGTGCTATCGCATTGCTCTCCATAGTGCCATCAAAATTCTACATTTATAAGCAATGAGTGAGAGGTCTTGGTTTTACTCCATGACTTCACTACCTTTCAGCCTTGATGTGGTAACTAGTCTCTTAAAGATACTCAATTTGCAATCTTCTTACTGGTTCTGAAAAATCATCTTTGGTTTCTCATCACCTCTCTCCTACCAAACTAGCCTAGAAAACCAAAAGGGAAGTGATTTTCAATTCAGAACTTCTAGATTCTGTTCTTAAAAGCATAAATCTGAAAACTGTAATAACAGATAAAATGGCAAGGCCTTAATAGGATGTAAAAGGAGAGGGTCAAATGTATAAACTAGAGGGCCTTCTTATGCTTATATCCAGCCAGGGGTCTGCCTTCAACTAGACCATTTGTCTTTAAAAGTACAGAGAAACAAGGGATGCCCAATGAATGACCATGGAAGGAGGAGAAAGCCCGCCCAGGAAATGAAAACTGGAGAGAAGGGCTGCTTGTTTCCTTCCTTCAGGGCCTTCTGCTGTTGAAGACTCAGTGAGATAACACAAGCTTCAATGGACACATGAGAGATTTAATTTAAATAAGGAAACATCTTTCAACCATAAAATGCCATAAACATTGAGGCAGTTAAATGCAAAATCCCCTTATCTGAGGTTTTCAACGCTTTTATGATTAGTGGGACATATATTTCCCACCAGTTTTTTTAGCCTCTCAGGTTTCTTGGGAAGCTATTCTCCCAGTTGTAGGGCATGCTGTCCCTGGCAGGGACTTGTATAACTCTGCAAATCTAAAGAAATGGATCTCATCCTATCAGTTACCATCAGAGCCCAATTGGGACAACACATGGGTACCACATAATTGTCCAAAAATCCATTGCCTCGAAAAAAAATTTTTTCCAAGCATGCCTTGCGTTACTGAAAACACATGGTTATTAATAAAAATTAAAAGCAGAAAAAAAATTGACCGTGGAAGGGTTAACAAAGCCTTTCAGAAAGAAGTAAGCTACATACTAGTATGTTCAGGGTCAAGATTCAAGATGATTTCTCAGCTACCTACTTTAAATTTTTCAATTAAGTCTTAACCAGTAACCATCTGGTTGGTTACTGGTAATATATGTTGACTCTCCAACTTCCTCAGGGATGGCTTTTGGACAGATATGTTAGCCCTACTTGATTCCTTCTGCTGAGAAAAGGATTAATAAACTCTTCATTCTACTGCGTTTTCTTTTGTTCTCTCTTTTCTCTTTTATGCAACATTTTGAGTCTTGTAGTTGGTGAAGTCTTTGGCAATTCCCAGATCAGAAACAACATGTTAGACACTGATGTGTATCAAAAGATTTCACCAAAAGAGGAAAAAGAGAACCCACAGATTGGGAAAAAATTTTGGCAATAGCGTATCAAACAAGGGACTAGTCTTTGAAGATTTATAGAAAAATCAATACCTCTACAAGAAAAAGATAAACAATACAATTTAAAATTGGGTAGAGACATGAACACACAATTCACCAAAGAAGACATTCAGGCAGCTAACAATCATGAAGAAATACTCGCCATCATTAGCCACTAGAGAGATGCAAATCAAACAACAGTGAGAGAACATCTCACCCCAGGTACCAATAGCAAAGTTCATCATTTGAGATGCCTCTTAGGTAAGCAAGGACAAGATTTGGTAGGGCAGCATTTCCTTCAGCCTGTCTGCTGCCATCTACGATATCACCCCCTTAACAAGTCTTCAGGTTAAAGTAAAATACTACTACAGTGAAAAATAGAGTTTGGGATCAGAATGACTTCCTAGTTGAGTGATCTTGGCCATCTATACATTGAAGGTAATGAAAGTCTACTTCCTGGGTTTTCATAAGACTAAATGAGTTGCTACAGGTGAAGAAGCTCTGAAACAGCAGCAGGCACGTATTAAAATGAGCAATGCCATTATCCTCCTCCTCCAACTATCACCACCAGAATTTTCCTAGAGTCAGTCATTAATATTGATGTAACGATCTTTACATCTTATACTTACTTTCTATTATAGCCATAATAGAACTTTCTTTTTCATCTTCCCTCTTGGACTTTAAACTTCTTGAATCCAAGAGTCAAATCTATTCTGTGCTACCCTCTCCCCACCACATATTTTACAATTCAAAACTACTATCAATGCTCAATAGAAATTCACTGACTCTGTAACCTGCTGGGCAGGCCCATTTGATGATTTAGAGGTATATATGGGTTCTGGTAGCGTAGTGGTTACAAATCGGGCTGCGAACCTTAAGGTCAGCGGTTCGAAACTACCAGCCGCTCCGTGGGAGAAAGATGAGGCTTTCTACTCCCGTAAGGATTTACACCCTCGGAAACCCTGTACAGGGTCGCTATGGGTCGGAACCGACCCAAAGGCACTTAACAACAACTTAACAACAAATGGGCCTACCCTGCTAGGGTAACCTGCCTGTACTTGTTCTTTTCCCAGGAATCTTGTCCTCTGCCCACCTTGTCCCACTCACCCACAATGGAGAGGATGACCACCACGAAGTCGAAGATGTTCCAGCCAATGGTGAAGTAGTAATGCCTCAAGGCAAACATTTTCAGCACACACTCACAGGTGAAGAAGATGACGAAGACAAGGTTAATCCAGTATAGAATGTTCTCCATTTGCTTACTCTGAGTATCTGTCTCCACCATCATTGTTACCATGTTAAGGCAGATGAGCATCATGATAACAATGTCAAAGGCTTGCTGAGTGACAAAATCGAAGACAATACCCTGGATTTTGTTCTGGGGAGGGAAGGAAGGACACATAAGCCAAGATTCATGAAAGGCTTTCGAAGCAGACCTGTGGGAAATTTCATCCTGTTAATCCAGTACTCTGCTTTCTTTTATGTGAAAAATGGCTACCTCTATCTTACTGCTCTGGAGACCTGGTGTGGTGCTGCTGTAGGCTAATGTGCTGGACCACAAGTCTATTTGAACCACAAGGTCGGTAGTTCAAGAAGCCCACCAGCTGCTCCTTGGCAATCCTATACAGGTCGCTATGGACCAACTTGATGGCACTTTAACAACAACAACAACAAAATCTTGCTACTCTATCCAATGTCAACATTATTTCATAAGAAGTTTTCTAAAATTGCCACTCTTCTATGTTGTGTCCATAATATTACACTTATAGATTTCTTCGGCTACAACTTTTTAGTGGCACTTGTCAGCCATTTCTCCCCTCATTTCATTTCCTCTTTTTCTATCCTTTCCCACTAGGGGAGCTCATTTACTCTGCTTACATAACCTCAATGTACTGCTGTTTCTCCATTTCTTCCTTCTCCAGCCCCTACCTTTCCTCTGAACCCGTGTTGTATACTCAATTGCCAACTTGACATCTCTCCTTGATGACTCATCATTTCAAACTTCACATATTCAAAGCAGAATATAGTCCCTTCCCTCATCCAGCTTGTACCTTTCTCAGTATTTCTCATCTCAATCATTCATCGAGTAACTCCAGCCAGAAATCTGACAGTCATTCTTGTCTCTTTTCTCTCCCTTTACCTTGCCTAATCCATTGCAGGTCTTGCTCATTCTTTTTCCTAAAATATCATTTGAATCCATCCACTTCACTTCTATTGTCCCTGGTCTAGCCTAAGTAACCATCATCACCTACTTGGACTTCTAGAATAATCCCCTAATTGGTCTATGTCCTCTCTTTCCCTAGTTCAATATAGTCTTCGCAAAGCATGCGAGATTTAAAAAAAACAACAGACGAATCACACTATCCTCTTAGCCATTTAATAGCTTCGTGGACTTGCAGCAAAATCTATTTGCCAACCTGACGGAAGAACGCCTTTCACTCTGATCATCTCATGGTTCCTTCTCTAGTTTGTCAATACCAGGCTAAACTAGTTCCTGTCTTAAGAATCTGTTTTACTTTCCTAGGAATCTCTTTCCTTAGGCATTTAAAAAAAAATGTTTTATTGTGAATTATGTGATAGTTTACATGGGGGAACATTAGCTTTATATTCATCTTATCGTATATTGCTTCATTGCCATGGTTACAATACCCTCTGTGCATCATACCAAAGGGTATACCCTGCAAGCCTGCCCCCCGGTTGTCAGCACACAGCCCCTCTCCCTCTATGGGTCTAGAGTCCCCAGTCGCTCCATCTCTCCATGTCATCATCTCTGCCTCCATCTCTGGCATCACTACTTCTCTGGGTAGGGTCCCGCCGTCTACTCTTCTCCCTTGATAATCCCAGGAACCTCCACTCCTGGACTGTAAAGTCAACCACTCCCCTCCTTTAGCCACAAAACATCTATCTTTACACTTCCAACCCTCACAGTCAGTTCTGATAGCAATTATTCAGTATTGCACCACAAGAGACCTTTACCTATATATATCTCCTTTCATTAGCCCTGCCGGGACAGACTG